CGACGTTGCTGCTGGGAACATCGAGGCCTGTACCTTTGCCCGACTTCGTCTTCACGTTCGTCCCGCTTAACATGGTCGCAGGACTAATGCCGCGGTAATTTCGGTCCGGCAAAACGAGCGGACGCGAAACCCAGAGAGAATGGACGGGCTCTCTCGGTTCCTTCGGTCGTGACGCGACATGATTGAAAGGCAGGTGAAGGGTCGGCCGCTCTGCGGTTCTGTACTTCGTCATCTGCCAAACGCAACTTCTGCACAATGGTACCGCCCCGAAATCAATTTGTTTCCGTAATGCGCTGGGACCGACCGTTCGTCAACGCTCCAACACTTTGCTTTTAACTCGCTTTTCGCAACTCGCAGATTTTCGCTGGTTTTATAATTGCGTGTCGCAGCGAAAACGTTGTTATGCAGCATGAAAGAAATCTTTCGCGACATAAAAACTATAACGCGTATCGTAGAAGAATATTGGTTGATGTACACTGACAGAAAATTAAAGCAATTTGGAATAAGATGAGTAAAATTGTCGCTAACTTGATAAATCGTTTTAAATAAACGATTGTAAAAATGTTGAGACATGAGAATCAAATCAGAATTATAATTATTGCGATAATATATTACGCGAACTTGTCTTCGCAGATGGCTGAATCTTGAAGTTTATTTGTTTAATCTAGCAAGATGATGCTGTAAACGACTGGAAAGTTGCAAGTTTAATCGATATCATATTCTTGCACGACCGTTCCTTTCCTCGATGTGATTGCGTCCTCCATTTCAGCAAAGCGATGGCGATAAAGGTACTTATGTAATTTGCGATGTTTGTACTTCTAGCGCGCTTTGAGGTCGAACTTTGAGAGGGGTAATTAAAGCGACGACGCCTGTACCGAGCGATTTATTGAACGTATTTCTAATTACTGTCCGGATGTTAGCAGGCGCTAAGAAACTTCTAATTGAAATTCAGTTCGGAACTGCGCATGACCAGGAGAAAATTTAATATTATTAATCAATTAAACGCGATAACGTTCAACTAGCACGCTTATTTTCTCTTGAATATTTAAGGAAAATTCAATTTTTAACTTACAAATATTTGAAATAATACACAAGTTAAACGCGAGATCTTTGTTTAGAAATAAACTTCTCGGATAATCGACCAGTTTCGTGGGAATACGGTCATCGGTTCTATCGGGAACGAAGGAAAAAAGGAGAAAGAGAGAGAAAACGACAAAAAAACCTCCTCTTTTTCTACCACGAGTAAAAAATATTCTTCCGTTAAGCCTCAAAGGGATGAAATGGCAAATCCTATGGGGAAGAAATATAGCGCGTATTTGGCGGCATCATTAATCTCGTAAAGACACATTCCGTGCTTTAATCTTTCAGGAATACACAACATCCATTACACGGGCTCATCTCCCGTTTCGGATCTCATGCGCTTCTACGTTGACTTCGTGATTCGCTTTGACAGACGCGCGTGAACGAGACAAACGGGACTAAAGCCGGATACCGGCGAAACGACGTGTCGGACGTAGCCCTGATTCACGACGACCAATCAAGTAGGAGAACACACGGCCGTTAATAACGCCTGTACAATCGACATCGGTCCTCGATACGGCCTGATACGGCGACATGGATCATGTAGATCCACCATCGGCTTCGTTCGATCGTTAATTAATTCCAAGTTTCATCGGATCGTCATAGCCTGCAAAAAAGCCTGCAAATATAGTGACACCTAATTCACAATTGATTCTTGGAGTTTACTTCGCAAATTTAGCGATAATTGAAATTCCTGCGTGTTAGAAAAAAGAAAGAGAGAGAGAGCTGGGTAAACGATACTTTTGCAAACGTTAATTTGAAAATTTTAATAAGCAATCTGAAATCTTTTGTCTGCAATCTCTTATGAAATAATCAATAAAAAGAGAGATTTTAATTGACTCTCATTAAAAGTTTAAAAATCATATTTTTTTATTTATTATATTTTCAAATTTTTTATTCTATTTCCATAGCTTGCCAAAAAATATTTGCACAGCAAGAATCTTGTGGCCTTCAGTGCGATTGTGTTTGTGTGATGTATTCACGTACATCGGTATTTGAGATAATCGGCGGAATCGATCTCATCCGCAACTCTTCCGCGGATTCTCACTTAATCGCATTGACGAAATCTGGATCGTGTCTCGTAACGTTCAACGAAGCTGTTGACGGTTCGGTAACTCGTGGCACCAGCTGGTACCACAACCGGGATTAAAATAGTTTAGCGGTACAAAAAGGCCGCAAAAAGCCCCAAGCAGGACCGAGCTGGAACGTAAGCGTTGCCGCTTGCTCCTCTTTTATAAACGCCTCGGTCGTTTTCCTTCATCAAGTGCGGTCGCTTGAAGATATCCGGAGTTCGTTAATGTCACTTGGATGGGAGCTTCGCGTAAGCAACGACGCCAGTTTGATTATTTTTCTATCAGGAACAAAGAGAGAGGTATGTATATATGTGTATACGGCGGCATGTGTCTCGAATTAATAAAGAAGCGGGTTATTCGTAGTCATTAACTGCGTGTATCGAGATTGGGGAAACGTGACATTCCACGAATCCCGTTCCTCGGATACTAAAGCTTCCGTTCCATTAACACAACACGGGAATCTTTTAATACTTTTCGAGCGTGCCAAATGATTTAAATGCGAGTCGGTCGCGCGATTTATTTCCCAATGATTGTTTTAAATAGGGATACATCCTGAAAGTCACGTAGATACACTTTACACTTATGATCAAATTTTTATCGACAAAAAAAATTTAGATTTTAACTTTATCAAAAAAGCCATAAATACATATATGGAGTGACGAGAGAGAACGTATGTTACGCTATTAAAATGTTGCTATAAATTTTATATTTGTAAAAAATATGGTTTATTGATTAAAAAGAAAATATTACAAAAAAACGTGGTAAATTTTCATGCGCGCTTTGTTATATTTTTGCTTGCAACGATACATATTACATTATTACAACGCAGTTCCAATATTTCCTCATTAAGCTACAGCTACTCCGGTGAATGTGCTTTGTATCGCCAATAACAACTTTGGTAACTCTACACTATATTCCACGTACATATTGCACGTACATTAATTCGTCAGTAGACATACAGCCGTACGCTTTAGGAGCAGTGGCGTGCGTTTCCGACAAATACGGGGCATCGTAGTGTAAACCTATAGTAAATGGAAGCATACGCGATGACAAATAAAGTGCAGGTAGACAGATAGGTAGGTAGATAGGTAGACGCGGACAAAGTTATGAAATTTATTTAATTCACTTAACATCACGCTATGTACGACACTATCTGGACATCTCTTCGTCCAAGCGTTTAATCTTATTGCTCGAACATGACTCGTAGAAATGATAATTATCGTACGGCTAATTAATCTTATAATAAATAGGACAATTAGCGAATAAAGCTACGATCGTATCGACGAAATTCAAATAGGTCCACGTATATTTATAAGGTATATATAGATACAAAGATATAGATACAATTTATTTTTAATGTCGGTCAACATTGAATAGTTATCAGTCCTTATAAACATTTGTTAACTATTCATAATCCGCGAGATTATTTAAGCTCTTAACAATTCATAAGTGTAGTCAAAAAGTGTATCAAAAAGTTATTACTATTTATATAAATATATAAATATATTGTGCAATTTATTCATCTGGAATAGAAAGAAACTAAAGAAATAAAAAGAAAAATAGAAATTTTAATTTATTATGTGATATTTTTACGGATAATAATTATTTTTCTAATGATACTTCTTTAGACGCTTGAATATATCTCTCATCACATTTTAAATTTTTTAATGATATGTAAATTATTATCATTATTTTCGACAGAGAAAGTAAAATAATATATGAATCGCGCGAATATTTTAAATAATGGAAAGCTTTAATATGCATGTGCCGATCCAGTAATAATCATTTAAAAATGAGAGAAACAAAATATTCGACATAAAATTATATATAAATATTGATATAATAATCAAAGACAATACATCGACAGGCACACAGCCTTAAAGTTTATTTGCACCATGTATGCATACGCTGCGTATATATGTGTATTATTGTGCGTATATCATTTCTTAAAAAGTTTATTCTCCATTAACAATTGACGACAATTTGTACGATTAATTAACTTTATAGTTTAAGATTAGACATATTAAGACGGCAATTATTTATTGAAATAAATATTTTATATATAAATATATTGCGAAATTTATTTTTCATTCAATTTATTATTCATTTAAAATAGAAGTGATAGAGAAAGAGAATTACAAATTATCTTTTATCGTGACACATTTACAAGCTATAATTATCTCTTTAATTGTACGTATATATATATATATATATATATATATATATATATATTTACATATATATCTTACATCAATATTCATTCTTTAAATATATCTCATATCTTTAATTAATCGATAAAATAGTTGCTAAATATTTGATACGGATGAAAAACATTTGGCATTTATATATAACATAATTTGAAATACAATATATATATATATATATATATATATATATATATATATTGTTATAATTTATTTTAAAACTAAGGAAGTGTTTTATAATGGCGATTTAATCGGCATTCGATACATTTGTTTTTTGGAGCGTACCAATTACATCTTTTTTTTTAATACAAAGAAATATTATATAAATATAATTTTTATCGTTATATATAATTTATTATTATTATTTCCACATTAACAAAATAAAATAACATTGATTATCAGATCGAATGATTTAGATAATGAAAAGCTGTAATAAATCGATCCATATATTTTCATAATTTCTTAAAAATGAAAGAAACAAAATATTCGGCATGAAATTATAAAGTTAGATATTCGATATAATATTTCGGAGCGCGACAATATGTCGACTGGCGCACAGCCTTGAAGTTTAATAGCGCCCTCGCGCTGTGTGTGTATGTATTATTGTGTTATTCGCACTACGTCACTCGAGTCGGCAGGTCGCGATCCGCTGCGTACATCGTTTCTCAAAACGTGATTATTTTCGACGACGATTATCAAATAGTACGATTAATGATCTTCGCAATTAAAGATTCGTGGATGTATCAAGGCGGCAGGTATTTATGAAAACAAATATCTCGCGCGATTTAAAGTAGGAGCAATACAGAAGGTGAATTATAAATTGCCATTTCGTCGCGACAAATTTATAACTTATAATTGCTTCCTCAATGCGTGTATTCATTCCCAATGTCGACGGAATAGAAAGAAACAGAATATTCGGCATGAAATTATAAAGTTAAATATTCGATATAATATTTCGGCGCCAGACGATACGCCGACTGGCCTTGAAGTTTGTTTATGTAGCGCCCCCTCGCGCTGTGCGTGTATGTATTACTGTGTTATTCGCACGACGTTACTCGAGTCGGCAAGTCGCGATCCGCCACGTACATCGTTTCTCGAAACGTAATTATTTTCGACGACGATTATCAATTAGTACGATTAATTATCTTCGCAATTAAAGATTCGTGGACGTATCAAGGCGGCAGGTATTTATGAAAACAAATATCTCGCGCGATTTAAAGTAGAAGCAATAGAGAAGATGAATTATAAATTGCCATTTCGTCGCGACAAATTTATAACTTATAATTGCTTCCTCAATGCGTGTATTCATTCCCAATGTCGACGGAATAGAAAGAAACAGAATATTCGGCATGAAATTATAAAGTTAAATATTCGATATAATATTTCGGCGCCAGACGATACGCCGACTGGCCTTGAAGTTTGTTTATGTAGCGCCCCCTCGCGCTGTGCGTGTATGTATTACTGTGTTATTCGCACGACGTTACTCGAGTCGGCAAGTCGCGATCCGCCACGTACATCGTTTCTCGAAACGTAATTATTTTCGACGACGATTATCAATTAGTACGATTAATTATCTTCGCAATTAAAGATTCGTGGACGTATCAAGGCGGCAGGTATTTATGAAAACAAATATCTCGCGCGATTTAAAGTAGAAGCAATAGAGAAGATGAATTATAAATTGCCATTTCGTCGCGACAAATTTATAACTTATAATTGCTTCCTCAATGCGTGTATTCATTCCCAATGTCGACGGAATAGAAAGAAACAGAATATTCGGCATGAAATTATAAAGTTAAATATTCGATATAATATTTCGGCGCCAGACGATACGCCGACTGGCCTTGAAGTTTGTTTATGTAGCGCCCCCTCGCGCTGTGCGTGTATGTATTACTGTGTTATTCGCACGACGTTACTCGAGTCGGCAAGTCGCGATCCGCTACGTACATCGTTTCTCGAAACGTAATTATTTTCGACGACGATTATCAATTAGTACGATTAATTATCTTCGCAATTAAAGATTCATGGACGTATCAAGGCGGCAGGTATTTATGAAAACAAATATCTCGCGCGATTTAAAGTAGAAGCAATAGAGAAGATGAATTATAAATTGCCATTTCGTCGCGACAAATTTATAACTTATAATTGCTTCCTCAATGCGTGTATTCATTCCCAATGTCGACGGAATAGAAAGAAACAGAATATTCGGCATGAAATTATAAAGTTAAATATTCGATATAATATTTCGGACCCAGATAATACGTCGACTGGCCTTGAAGTTTATTTACGTAGCGCCCTCACGCTGTGTGTGTATGTATTATTTTTATTCGCGTGACGTCACTCGAGTCGGCAGGTCGCGATCCGGTGCGTACATCTTTTCTCAAAACGTAATTATTTTCGACGACGATTATCAATTAGTACGATTAATTATCTTCGCAATTAAAGATTCGTGGACGTATCAAGGCGGCAGGTATTTATTAAAACAAGTATTTCGCACGATTTAAAGTAGAAGCGATAGACAAGATGAATGATAAATTGCCGTTTCGTCGCGACAAATTTACGACCTATAATTATTTCCTCAATGCGTGTATTCATTCCCAATGTCGACGGAATAGAATTGAATCTCATTGAACATTGCTGAACAATGCTCCATGAAAGTGCGCTTTGCTTCGAGAAACGGGCCCGCTTGAATTGGTTAGATTAGGTTAGTTCGATCGATTGCTCGATAAGGGCAGGCACAATCGTCGTCCCGCATCTCTTGCCCCGAACACCATACACCAATAGTGTCGCCGTATATTTTTTAGTTCTCGCTCGAAATTATCTCGCCGACTCGTAGTGCGAAACGGTATATTGTTTCGCATTTGCGAAATCGTCGGGAGTGTCGTGTAAAGTGTCGCGCGTTTAAGTGCGGGAGTGTCGTTCAAAGTGTCGTGCGTCCAGTGATCTTTCCTGACGACCCTGACAAAGATCCATTACCTACGAGGAGATGGAAGTCTAGGAAAGGCATCGTGCAAACGGCGAAATACTTCGAGGTAAATAATTTATTATTTATTTATTATTTTTCATTAATCACGTTACGCGCATTTATTCTTCCGGTTGATTATTGCGTCTGTCTGTTTATTTGATATTCCTTTTATTTTACATGATTGATTTGTTTTTTGAATAATTTAAATAAGAATTAAAGAAAAGATTTTTTAAATTGTAATTTATAAAAGATTGTAATATTATGTAGAGTAGTTTTTCAAAAATTATTATATAATTATTTCATTGAATATCTGCTTATAATTATATCAAATATCTGACGCATGTAATAATAATTTTTTAAAATATTAATTAATTGGTAATATACTATTGATAATATATATTAATTGGTAAAATATTAATTAATTGGCAATACGTTGCTATAATTTGAATCTCACTTTTATATGGGATTTTATTAACGATAAAAACGCGTATGTATGTAACATGCTAATCATTTATTTTTTTTAAATTTCTATTTGTTGCATACAAAAATATTTTTTGGATACATTTTTATACTTGGCTTGTGTTTTTTTATTATTTTTCAATTATATCCATCTTGTTTTTCTCTTCACTCCAATATATGTCTATGAAGATAAAGAAAGAGAAGCAGGTATTAATATAATAATAAAATAAAAAGAGAAGATACAAAATGTAAAAAAAATAGTACATTACATATATATTTTTAAGTATGATTTATTACATCATTGTTTCATTAGCACATAATATTCATTAGCGCATTATTCATAAGTGAGGCGTAATATTCATTAGTGCATAATTGTTTTATGCGCAATAATTATAATAATTACAAATATATTACCGATGCATGAATATAGGTCTTAGATTTATGCTGGATTTTTTTATGGCATCATTTCATGTATCATGCATAATTTTTTACGTTCTCGTATATTGTTCCTCGCGAAAAAATTCATAATTAATTGCAAACGTAAAGAAACTTGAAAACAAATTAGATCTGGATATCAGGAAAACTATCAAAAATACAAACGTCAGGAAATATCAATATAAAAACAAATATCGACAAATATTGTGGAAGAAGATTCATATTTTCAGTAGATATTTATTATGCAGTTGAAAAAAATATTCTAATATCATTCTGTTAAATTTTTTATTTTTAAATTGTAAATACAATATATTATTTTATTTAAAAATTTCCTAAATTTCTCAAATTAGAGCTTTATACATTCAAGCTTATAATTGAATATCGAATGTGTAAAAGGAATAATAATTAATTAATCAATGATAATAACTCCAACATGTATATGTGTTGTAAAACATAATATTAACTTATTATAACATAATACACATATAAATTTTAATTGTTTTCAAACTTATTAATATTTTGAGAGGGAGAAACACATCGAAATAGAAATTGTATTTCTCTCAATTGTTCGACATTGTATGCATTCACTAACTGCAAATTATATTAATCAATTGCAAATATATCTATGGGCCCAATGTCGATGCTCGATGTGAGTACATTATAATTATGCTCTTAATTATGCAGTTTGTCCTATATATAATGTACCGTGTAACGAATAAATACGGTGAAAATACTGAATGTTCGCATCGTTTGCATAATAGTCGCGCAGCAATTATAGGGTTAATTTCGCGTAGGCATTTGCCGTGAAAGCTTCGTATAAAAGCCCGATTTATTCGTATGCATTGTATGTAAAATACACGACGAAAGTATAAACCGACGCTTATAAATAAATAAATTTCGCGTATAACATTCAGATTAACATAATTGTTATAAAGTTATTTAATACACACTTATAAGCAAGATATACATGCTTGTGTGCGTTGCATTTGGGTGAATTAAAAAAAATTGCCAGATTTTTTAAGCGTGTTAAAAGAAAAGTAAGACTGAAGGGAAATGCATTTTCTCGATGCGAGTAAAATTATGATGAGATTAATTTATTATCTAATGACAATCTCGCGATTTATTCGAAATCAACCATTTTTTCGAGTTCGACGTGTTCTGAAATGAGTCTTATTTGAAAACATATGAGAAAATTGAACCAAGACGTAAAGGAGAGGCTGGGATCGGGAGTCTTGAGCACTATTGCAAACCTTCTGGTAGTGTTATTTCACGAAGCGAATAGCTACTAAGTCACTGTTGACCCATGAACTCGACTACGATGATATATGAGCATAGTTTTCACTTGCAATGCGCCCATCAACCTCTCCCCCTCGTCCCTCCTTCGCGCCATCGTCCGCATCGCTCATTCTCATTTCACCACCATCAGCATCATCCGCGTTAGCGTTTACAGTTTTGTTGTTGTTTCGTATACACACGGAAGCATAGCCGGAGTTCCTAATTACCGCATTGTCGGAAAAGAAAATGAACGTAGTTCTCTGTAAAGCGTATGAAAATTCATGAAAATACGCTCGGTGGAGAAGGGAAGTCGAGAGGGAGGGAGAACAACGTCAGCTTTGCAGCGAAAATAATAACTAATTATCTCGCTTTTGAAAACACGACGTGCGAGTATCGAATTTAATATCCGACTCATAACATGAGCGTTGAGCCCGAAGACATAAAGAGCTGTTAATGTGATGACAGTTTTTTGTAGCTATGCTTATCTTTCTCTTTTTTTTTTACACATATCATCTTTATCATCAGCAACAAAGTTGTTGTAATAAAATCCCATATATAATATCCATTAGCGAAATGCATTACGAAGGAACTGTGCACTTATTCACTATATAATCTTATCAGCCGAATGTGCATTGGCTCGATATTTTCATATAAAGCGTCATGTGTACGCGATATATGCGTCCGCGCCTGCAATTTTTCCATGCGAACGACCCGAGGGAGAAGGAGCAAGTATGGCAATTCGTACGATAAGTATGAGTTTGCGTTGGAGACGCTTTGTCATCGGAGGCGAACCGGGGGTGATAGAAGAACCGTGGCGGGCATTATTTTCCGAATAGTCCGAAAAAGAAGTCGAGAGAAACGACAAAACTGAAAAAGAGATAGAAAGGAAACAAAAAGTAAACTTCTTCAGTTTCTCCTACATCTCAATCCCTCCCTTTCCTTCCGATGTTATTTGACATTAAACTACGTGGCCAATCGTGGCAAGCAGTCACGGTTGCGATTGCATTAAATTTAAATAATCACGGAAAAATGTTAATGCCTTGAGTTTGATATAACTTAATGATAAAATAAAATGACGGGAGGGACCGTGACGTTTCGGAAGGGGGGTAAATCGGCAAAGTCCTAGGGCCGTTGATGGAATAAACGAGACGGTTGTCTGCCGAATACGAATAAGATAATAACATCGAGCGGAAATTGCCTCGGGAAAAAAAGGCAAATTGAATTAATGCTCGCGTAAGGAAAAAGGAGGCGACGAGGAGAATTACGTTTAAGATACTGGTCTAAAAGACCATTCATGTCGCTTAAACAATCGGCGAAACTTTTGAAATTTTATTTTTTTGGCATTCGTACCACGTTTTTTGTAACGCAGGGGTAAAAAGGGTAACGCAGTTTCCATCGAGAAAAATTATTAAAACTCTAGGGAATGATATTTCGAGGAGATGTTGACATTCGCGATGGATATTGCAAAATTTTTTGAAGGATGCAATCGGCTTAATGGATTTTTATACAAATTATTAGCGTATTGCTATATCTATAATAAAAATTTTATTTCCAAATTTAAAACAAAATTTACATTGTGCGCGATTTTTATATTATTATTTATATTTTGCTTATATTTTATTTTATGTATTGTAGTACAGTGCCGATTATTAATTTGCGAATATCTGCACACAATCAAATTTTTAGCGAAAAAAAAAATTCAAACTTTATATGTTAAATAATTTTTCTCGCGTGTAAAATATATGTAAATATTCATGGATGAATAAAAAAATATTGTTGTAGCGTAAATATTTTACAAATGCTTTCGAAGATATTTTTTCGTACAATATCTCGTACAATTTTCTATAGATGTTCACAGATTAAGAGCTGGCATTGTAGATATACGCAATTTACTATCGTCACTCTTTATGCGGCGAAAGATTGCGCTTCCCTTTCGATATCGCAATCAGATAAAGAGTTCGCGCACTAGAAAGCACCCTCGACGAGTGAAGAAAGTGAAAGAACGAAATGGATAGAGCGTCGTAACGTCGCCGTTTTTCATGAACGAATAATTCAGCCGCACGGCAAGAGTAAAGGGAGCTTAGCCATCGATTCGCGTCGGGTCGCGTGTTCCGATCGATCCTACTGCGACGTGATTTTCCGACCGTCTATATATACATTCGCAATCACATTGGACGTTGCACTTTAATATCAGAAAAATCCGACGGAATTGAACTTCTCACCGCGATATTCGATCTCTTCCAAATGCGACCGTTTAACCCAAAAGAGAAATCGAATTTCATTACCATATTGTCTTGAAATTTATTACGCGTTCCTCGATAATCGTATCTTCAGCTCTGATATCCTATTCTCGTCGTCATCTCAATAGGAATTAAACGTTTATTACGGAAAGCAGTGATAAACTATCTTATTATCATCTTAGACGGCACGTTATAATCGTTCCCCTTACGTCATCTTAACGAATCGCGTCGCTGCATTTTATTGTGCGCTTGATATCTCATGTAAGAATGCAATTACCTCGTGTTTTCGGTGCTTCGGGAATTTTGGTATTCGTCGCTTGCACGCTGCTTCTCGTGGATTTTCATTCTATTCGTCCGCTTTCCGAAAAATAGTTACACAAGTTATTTAATCATATCGCTCGGCGCAGAGGCAAAATTCAGCGGGAAAATTCCGAGATTGCCAAAAGTGTAACGACTTTGCGTTGTGGTATTTAAAGTCAAAATGTCAACGAAACTTTTATCATCCCGGTCGTTTCACAAATATTTATATAATACCCAAAAAAGAGAGTTGTTTTTTTATACATGTATGTTTCTTTATTAAAGAAAAATCAATTCGGAATGAGATCAAAGAATATATACAGTTAAAAATATATTCTCGGTGGTTTTGAAACATCGATTTAAAGATCCGCGGATCGTTTATGGAAGGAAAACGGATTCGATATCGATAAATCGCATCGATTCTCCCGCTCCGTTTTTTTTTTTTTCGCTGAAAAACATTGCACCGCATGATTACTCGGTCGAAAAATACGGGAACGTATCTGGGAACTGACTTACAAACTGCTATCTTCTATGATAACTTCTGTTATATATTAATCCGATTTTACAACACAACCAGCCGAGCGACAAACCGATACATTTATAATCTCGTGATAGCACAATTTTTCATTGCTACGCACAACATTTTTCTTTCAGTTGTTTCGGACTTTCGAAAAATACCTGCGTGACAGTGTACATAACGATCATTGTGTTAATTTAATACCGACAGTTTTAAAAAAGCGAGCGAATATTGTCCGTGCAAATTATATCATAGCTTTTATAAACGCCAAGTGACTTATCTCTAAATAATATTTTCTGACATTCTGTATTTTTCTTAAATATACATGTTCTTCCTATATTAATTTCCTATGAAATTTGTCGCATGTATAGTGAAATGGTATTAAAACGTATACGTGAAAGATGCAAATCCCATGAAATTGAAATCTCCTCCAAATCCAATTTAATTATGTTGATTTTATCCCAACGTCCGACGTTCATAAAAGATACCTCACGGTAACCGGCGGAGACTTTCATATAAATTTAGCGAAACGAAATATGGCGCGCGATCATAAAACTGAACTTGAAGCAGCGCGAAAGTGTGCAACGTTATCGCCCTGATGCACCTAGGGCGCGTCGAACTTTTGGAAAGCAATGAGCCAGTCCCGAACTCAGGACTTTGACGTATTGCGATGTTCTTCGGTACGAGCGGGAATGCTTTTTGGAGCAAACTTAAATCTTACGATAGATTGATATCGCTGTCGGACGATGGTCGTATATATAACGGCATATCAATCTAAAATTATTAAATTTTTAAAAATTGCTCGAAAGGTGTTATTATTTACATATGATGTAATCAAATTTGCATTTCATAATGTAACTAGCCCAAAAAATATATAATAATTAAGCAAATTAATATGATATAAAAAATACACCATATAATAATTATAAATTAATATAATATGCAATATCTATAATTTATTAAAAAATATACATATTTCAAAATCACATTTTTGAAAAATTTTTGAATCATTTGTACGTCTTAATATTAATTCGTAAAAGTAAATTTGTATAGCTGTTTTTATACTTACTATATCTAATTGACGCATGAAATGATTTCTAACATTAAATATGCCATTTCATACGAACGTCGGATATTTATTTTTAAACCGATTAACTGATATGAAGGCAATGAGGCATCATATCGAGCTCTGAAAATTCCTTTTAATGAGGAATACGAAAGGTAGAATGCAAATCCTATATCGCGATGGATCAATCTGTCAGAATCGGAGCAGATATTCCAAGAGCGCAGATTTTGTGCTTTAATACGCGCTCTCCTGCGATAGATGATCGATAGATTCCGCTGGGCGAGTGGCTCAAATTCGGGAAAATTTTCGCTTCTTGAAAAAGAACCGATACAATCGACTCGGTGCTTACACTCGATCGAATAAGGCTATTACGGATGAGATCGCGCGCGGGTGGATCAACGAAGACGGACGGGTAATATACTCTCGCGTGTACAAAAGCAGGCAGGGGCACTCAATTCCGGAGTTAATACCTCCATTCGCATTCGTACCGCAGCGTTTCATCTCACTCGTCTCTGCCCCTCGCTGATTTACCCCTCTTTTGGCATGGGGCTCGATGTGCACGAACGAGCGAATCGCATTTCGCAAGCGTTCTCGTCGCGACTGCGGTTTGACCTACCTGTCGTCGTAGTTGAATACGATGGAGATGGCAAAGAGGCCCGTCGTGGGTGGGATGGTTTGAGAAATGATTAAGAATGATTGATTGGAGGGAGGAATCCAAGGAACAATTAGAAGAATTTCTATTAGAAAGAAAGAGAGAGAGAGAGAGAGAGAGAGAGAGAGAGAGAGAGAGAGAGAGAGAGAGAGAGAGAGAATGAAAGAAAAGAAAGGATAAAGAATAGTCATTGTTTTCAAAATGTATACGTATCAGGTGAAAATTGAAGTTTTCTAGAACTAACATGACACGAGTTTGCGTCTCTAACATAAATATTGTATCGGTTACCGATGTCGTGCATGGTTCTTTGAAAGATGTTCCCGGGAAGTCCGTTCACTGGAACTTTTTGTGATTTCAAGGGTTTGTGACAACGATGTCGCGACATATGTCTTTAACACTTCTCTCTCTCCCGCTTCCTCGCTATCGCGAAACCTTGGTTTATCCTGGCTAGAAACTTTTCTAGTCACGATGCTTATGCGCGTTTGAGGCAAACCGCTGGGAAGCATGTTCGACAACTATCGATACAAGTTCCGCTATAGAAAATTTTTATTAAAATCTAGATATTAAAGAGAGATAGAGAGAAAGAAAGAGAGAGAAAATTAAAGACAAACTGCATTCTGATTAGAAAAATAATGCACTATTTTTAATTATTCATTATAGAATAATTTGCTGTTTATATGTGTTCATGGAATATTCGTTAATTAATAGAAAATCCGTTCATTAACAGGAATCTTTGGATTGATGAATGGATCCGATGTAGACTAAATCGCTGTAGATTCCATTTGAATTTCGGTTGGATACGTGTTTGTTGCCGTTCGATCGGGATTCGGGAAACGATGAGGTACGGATTACTTTGACAAAGAGCAATGCATTGCGCACAGCTTAGATATGAGTACAATGACAATAATCTCTCGCTGTCGTAATCGCGCGGTTTAATATCAGTGGAACTAAATTGTCTCTATCGCTGCAGTAGATTCGATATTACAGCATACAATCCCGTATATACCACGTCCACTTGAACGGATATCTATGCGCTTACCTTGATCGCGTTTATATATATATATATATATATACACACAGTGATTATACGATCGACATACGTTATGTAAATATTAATATTGGCTTAATATTATAGATGCACTTTACGTTTAAGAAAAATTCAATCAAAATCCGCTTATCGCGTATGACGTATATTGAAGTATTACAGCTGCTACAGTAATATCAAATTAATGCCCATCGTAATTGCAGATACATCAAACCGCATTGTCGATACTTTTCTTCCATCGAATTATTAATCATCGGGTACGCATTATTCGCAAATGAAAACTTATCCGTTTGACCATTCATCGTCATAATACCGACGTCGAATGATGGATTGCCTTCATAAAGGTGGATTAATTATAAAACATCGATTTGCATTTGTCTCGGCCGCGTCAATCTTACTCGAAATGCAACGTAAATGCATTATAACGTGCAACCGCGTTATTGCACGGGAGTGTTAAATTTGAATTCTTCCGCAGTGAGTAAGGAGGATTTATTGCCGATCGTTACTTAACTCAAAATCTGTTCGGACGACGCTTTCATAAAGCATAAAACGCGACTGCTCTTAAATTATAGAAGGCACGTTATTCAATGTTATATTTCATTATCGTAGCCAGCTAGTTTGATGGCTATATGATTTCTTCAAAATTTTGTAATAATATGGAATTTATTCAATTTTTTTGGTCTCCTTGTATTTTATAAAAGGCCAACAAGTATTTTGAAAAATTAAACGTTAATAACATGCAATAATTCTAAAACATGCAACAATAAAAAAATCTCTTTCCTTACTTGATTTAAATTTCTTTATAATGAGTTTGAAAATTACGAGTTTAAAATTCTTGTATATTCTTAATTATAAATTAGTAATATACAAGATACTTAAATTTATTAGAAATCTATGATATATATTAAGATATATTAAACACATATCTCATATTTAAAAAAAATTATTTTCGAAAATTCTGTAATTTCTTTTATTAAATTTAAAAAAACGAATAAAAATTTAATTGCAATGATTATTTTCGAATATATTAATTATATTAAATACTTATGTATAATTTGAATACATTTGTATGTTACAGATCAACATTGTGTTCTGTCTGCCCACATCGTGTCAGTGAGTGCACATTGTATCGGTGAGTGTTAAATTATATTTCATCTTAATTTTATAGTGATATTACATCACAAATATCAATATTTAAAAATTTAAATTTGCAATGATAAAACAAAAAAATTATTGATTCTTAAAATTGTGTGCACAGAGGAAGAAACAGGATATATTTTAAAATTTACGAAACAAAATTTTATAGAAATAAAATTTTTGAGAAATATTGAATCATAAAAATAAAAAATTTGATTTTTTATTTCAAACAGTATTTGAAATAGTTTAAAATGCAATAAATTAGTACTTAATTTTGTCATATAGCCAAATTTGATTTCTTCTAATGAAGAAGACAAAGGTTAATAGGAATCATTTTTTCGATGAATATAGATACATAGTTGTCATGCTAATGAAATTAATTTCACATATTATCTGAATACGGATTTAATATTTTGTGTTAATATTAGCTCAACTGAAAAGGGCACACGCGAAAGATAGACAAATTAATCACAAAATGCGATGCGCTTTTTTATCTCATCGCTAACCAATAATAAAGTCAACATTGTAATTTACTGTAAAAGCTCAATAAGAAAAGTTGAGTTTAACGTTTCTGACAATAATTTCTTGACAATAGAAGAAAGCCACAGATTTATATTGATTTTGTTAAAATTCCTTTTTCTTCCTCAATCTCATAATTTATTTTTATTTGGATTCGCAAAATTTGCATCAGTATACGCAGCTACATACATATATATATATGCAATAGTTAATCCTCCAAACCGTGCGGAAGAGCGTAATAATAAAAGCTACCAGACGCGTTATAAATATTAAATCTCGCAGAGTGTTTAGAATACCGGAGCTATCGTAAAAATTCGTTAATATCGGTACATAAACGTTACTTCTTGCATTTCATTTCAGTGGGCATTATTATTTTTGTCCAAAAAATGTTTATAAATAAGGCAAGATGATATTTCATCTCATTTTTAATATTTTCCTAATCTTACGGATATATTTATCTTATTGATGCTGTCACAATTTTTTGCTTATAGAATATTCAGAGAAAAAGAGAGAAAATATTATACAATGTTTAAAAATTTATTTCTCTCTTTTAAATACCTCATAAAAAGAAATAAAACTTCCATAAGAGTCAGAAAAAAATATCATTGCATCACTATAGTTGCATCGATAAACTTCAAAGGCAAACATAGCAAGGCCTTTTTATCTCGAGCTGTATCTGCATCGTTTCATTTTCTTTTCTTTTTATTTTTTGTATTAATTTATATTTTTTTCTGATTGTAAAACTCATTTATTATATATTTTATTCTCACAAATTAAACGCGAAAGATACAACACACGTGATTAAAATCATTTTATTATTTTAATATTTGAAAATATTTCGTGTATATGGTTTACGGTTATACTTCTTATATGATTACGTTATTATTCGATTGAATTATTAATTCAAAAAGAATAGATATTTACGTAGAAAAATAAATCAGTTTATGATGATACAATTTTGTTTATCTTCGAAATTATTAAATACTAATTTGAATAAATCGTAAAAAATACATTTTTAATCGGTATAAACCATCGCATAGGAAAATAGGAAACTAGGAAAACATTATGTTTTTCAATACTGCATAATATGTCAATATGCAACGCGAGAATGATTCCATTTATTTTTCCATTCATAGATGCTAGTTTAATTAAAAGCTGCTTTGAAATAGCTGCGCAATAAATGCGTCCTTTTTGGATAGAATCCGCTCTAATGGAAACACGCTCAATTCGAAATCAGTTTTCGCAAGAGCGAAAAAAAGATCACAAATTCTCGATAAAGCAGCAAACCGATGTCTGCGATAATACATTCTTGAAGAGTTCTCTCCTTGCGGTAATCTCTTACAACTAAGTAATGGATGTTACGCTGATAAAGTCCTCGCGCTTGCAAACCCCGAGTAACCGCATCGTCCTTTTACGACTAGTTCTAACATTCCCAAATTATACACACCTAAATGATGGATGGTTTCCCTTAGCCCTTCCGGCCGCATTCACTCATGTCGCCGTCTTTGAAACGCCGGTACTTTACATGGACAGATGTACACACTTGCGAATTATTTATTATATCGTATTACGTAACGTTTGGTAGCTTATGCTGTTTTAATGAAATGTTAATATAATGAAATGATGGTCTACATTTAGCTCTTATATTTTTTAAGAATAGTGATTTATATCAAATGATCGGATTACTAGAAAAACCATTAGATAATAATAAATTATTATTTAAGAGATAAATAATTACAGAAAACATGTAACTTAATAAGTATAAAATAAAATCTAATTCAGTTATATATCTCGAATATTAATAGAAATAAATAAATATAAATTTAAATAAATAAAAATAAATAATTTAAATTAATAAATATAAATATAATAAATTTAAATATAAGTTAATAAATATTAATAAATATAATAATAATAAATATAAATTAAATAGCACTTTTTATAATTTAATAATCGAATTTGACATGCTTCTTATATATAAATATTGATTAGATACACGACATTTCTTAGCAATATTGTCTCTATTTTATTAATATAATTGGTGATTAAATTCTTTAGTAGATTGCGATTATTTAATAAATGTATTTAATTTTCGATGTTAAAAGATACGAATGCAATCGAGCATTAAGTATTGCTACAATAAAAACTGTATTTAATACGGATTCAAAAACGCGAAGCATCATCAAAACTGTGTCACATTTTTCCATATATCTGGTCTCGAGGGTGGAAATAAAAATGTGTATTGCAGAATGAATGACAATTATCGTGGCAGATTGATGGAACGAAAAAAGCGCAATGAAAAAACGTGTATGACACTGAAGAAAATGTTGAAAAAGGAACTCGACTACTTGATTTGAGCTATAAATATTGATCCCGATCACGAATTGTCCAATGTACCGTGACAAATTAAAAGAACGTGATAAAATTTAGTTCAACTGAAAGATAAGTCATACTGTACATATTTATAACCCGCGAGAATTATTTATAACATTTTTAATTGAAAGCAGGTATGTCGATAAAGTGTCGAAATAATTCGTCATTCAAAATTTACGTTTGACATGACACGTTTAGCGTGAATGATTTTGTCACGATGACCGAGTAAAGTGACACGATGTTTGATTACGAAAGAAAGAAATATACTTGCCGTACACATTTTCGCCTCGTGCAATAAGTATAACGGATCGTTCGGTTCTGTGTTAAGCGAACGAGATGATGTCGCGAAATGCGCGCGGTAAAAGAATGCGGCGCATTACTCATCGCTGTTTTTGCGTGCAGTCCGCGAAAGGAACCGCATCGTCGGTCGGGAGCGTAATTTTTCACATCCCGAGACGCGACGATTAATCCTTGGCGATGCGTTACGAGGAGGACGCCAGGGCGCGATTTATAATCAGCTTTTCGCATCCGCCGCGTAGACATTAAAGTCGCGTTTCTTGCGCACCGATGCGAAACTGAATTAAGTCCTTAAGACCCGAATTAACGGGGCATACGTTGATGTCACGAGCACGTACGTATCGTACGCACGCATGCACGCAAGAACGCAAGTATCCGTCGTGTAGAGAAACGCGTACACGACGTTGGCGTTAAAATGTTAGAATTAACATAGCTCTGGCGTTTGTGCTACAATGGAATTAATTCCCGAGGATTTGGGGCACGACTAACGAGTTTATACTAAGACCGTGGAATAACAGAACCCTGTCACCGATAAAGACATTGTCATATGCTCGGCATTTCCACCCGTAACTTTCTCGCTTCAATGTTTCTTACAATGTTTCTTTTCGTCGCCAACAATACGATGATCGAAAAGTATGCGTAATCGTAAAAAAATATTTCCGACCGAACAGCTTTTATTGTAGTTAAAAATATCTATGATGATACGTGTTTGTGAATAATTAATTTTAATTAATAGATGAGAATGTTATCGATTCAAGTCTCAATATTTTTACGTGCGTGCTAATTATTTTCTAAGTATTTAAAAACAAGATTATTCACTTGGACTTGGATTTTAATTTTTAAGTCCTTATAATATTATTTATATAAAAGAAAATATTCATGTTTTTTTAATGTAATTTAAATAAATTATTTCGTTGAAAATATACAACTTTGAAAGTTGCATATTAACGCTCATTTTATAATTACATTAATTTCATAAAAGAAATTTGATATTAATTAATATTAAAAATACTCTGATAAATTATATATTTTTATTAAAATATAAGTTGATAATATTTTAACGGTAATCAATTTTGCTTCAGTTTTTCTCTCAAAATTGTATAATCTCGGTATAATAAAATATATAAAATACATTTATTTTAGTGATATATAAATTTAATTAGAATTTTCTTCCGTGCACATATTTATCTTCGAGTTCATAAAATTCAAAACTCTTTTCTTTTGTTTATCTTTTAATCATCTTTTTATAATAATTTTATCTTTTTATTTAAAGCAAAATAAACATGAATAATCAGTAAGTCGAAAAGATATCTAAGTGGATCGTAACATATTTATATTAATATTAATTTAAAATACAATATTTTATAACTTTAAACTCGTTAAGAATAATCGAATTTAATACACGGAAATCTCAAATGGAGAAAATCTCGTGCCAATATTAATATCAAATTGTTCAAACTTCCACAATTTAATCGAGAGCGCTACCGGTGAAAAATTTATAAAAAAGAAAATCGAAAATGAAAAGATTAAATTCCAGTTATTAAATCAGCCGATGAACATTATTTAGTTTAATCACTGAACGAGTCATTAACAAACTATATAATTAACATTTTTGACGTAAATAAATTTTTTATTCATATATTTAATTTTCTTTTTTTTCTTGTTTCTTAAATTCTTTTTCTAGTACAATAATTAATTAAATATTAAAGTAAAGCGCTTTAGTAATAGTTTTCGTGAAAATATATCATTTAAAATTAACGAGAAAGAGAAAGAATGTTAATTGACAAAAAAGCGTTGTTTTGATAG